CACACTCATCAGACCAGAAAATCAAGAAGGCAGATAACAGCATGTGTGGCAGAGCTGTGAATAATAGAAACCTCCTGCTCTGATCATGGGAGTGTAGACTGTTGAGGCATTTTGGGAGCTGGCAAAACTATTTCGTGAACTGACTATTTGCTTTGTGATAAATCACTGAGCTGCACTTAGCCATTTGTGTCTTCTTCTGTATGTTGTACACTTTATAATATTTTTTTTAAAATTAATATTGAGTGGAAGTAGCCAGAAAGAAATGTATACCATATCCTGCCATTTATACAAAGGTCAAAAACAGTAAAACCCAAACTTTGAAATTTAGGGATGCACATTTTGTTGGCAAAATATATTATTCTCTAAGGTAAATAATAGGTATGAGATTAAAATCTTTAGAGAAGTGGTTAAGGAAAACTCCAAGGTCCCAGTGTGTAAACACTTTGAATAGATAATTCACAAAGAAGAATTGTAGTTAATAAAAAAATAGATGGGACAGGTTGTTTATAATCGCATCGATTCAAAGTGAAGAAAGGATATAATACTATTTCTCTAATCTTGAATTAGCAAAAGTGAAAAAAGTCAGACACACCAGGCACTCTCAGGTGCCGTTGGGTGATTTAAACGAGTGGGGCACTTTTAGAAAATGTCGTGTTGGCTGCAAACGGAATTTGAGGAATCATCTCCACTCCTCACTTATTGCATCACTTAGAAAAGCGTTTTGCTCTAAGTTACAAAAGGCTGACTTTCAGGAATTTTAACAAATAGGGCTTTATTTTTCTCGAATAGTAAGAAGTCTAGAATTGGGCTGCTGCTTGCTTTGATTCAGCAACTGGCCAAGCCCAGGGGACATTATGGAGAGTAAAGAAGGAGGGAGAAGTGGCACAGGGGAAGCTCAGCCCCCAGACCAGAAGATCGGCCTATTCCCGATTTTCTCCCTAGTAGATGGTCAATTTCCTCTGACTCTCCTGCTTTCCTGACCTGAGTCCCAGATCCTGGTCCCGTCTAATCAGACCTCTCCTCACAGCCCAGTTATTCCTAGACTTGAGACCCAATTATGCTTCAGCACCCAGGACAGCGCCATCCTACTTTGTGGGGCTCGCCAAGGACCACATTGTGTCTTCGCTGAAACAAGCGCCTCTCCCACTGTGGACAGATCCTGATGGGGGAACTGAGAGAGGATATGGTGGATATGATCAAGATAAGGGCCTCCAATCTAGTTCGGCCCTTCTTAGGCTCCTTTCCACCCCCATGGAATGGGACTTTGTATTCCATAAGAGAGGGACTTCTCACACACCCTTTGGTTTCTTGCCTCTCAGGGGAAACTTCACCTCTAGTCTTCTCAGAAATCCCTCCCTGTCTGGGGAAAGCCCCTGTTTCTCCCTCTTCTGCCTCTTACAGACAAGAAAGACCTCTCTCCCCAACAGGCTGATATCTCTGTCTCTCTGTCTGTCTCCCTCTCCCTCTCTCTCCTCCACCCCATGCTCTCTTCCTCTCTTTCTCTTCTCAGTCTCTGGCTGGTACCAAAATAGAGTTCTGGAGGACGGGGAACAAGACTCATGGTCCTTTACTGTCTCTAGCTCTGTGCCAAATACTGAAAACTTTTTAAAAATATGCCTCCATTCTATCTGATAAATGAAGGAATGAAACATCAGGAGGCTGACTGAAGCATTGTCTTTGGAAGTGATGGAAGACATTCAAAGTGTTTAGGCACACAAGGGAGCTTGCTGAGATTGGGAAAAGAGTTCTGCGACATCAGAGATGGATCCATGTCAGTGGGAGACCAAGAGGCTACAAGAGGGAGAAACATAAGGAGAGGGGAATTAGGTGGTCACCCCGTGGAGGGGAAGTGTGGAGGCTAGAGGAGCTGTGGAGAAGATGGGCAGAGATATTCTGTACATGTATGTGCAGGGCTCACAGGAAATGTGAGGAGGAACAAAGATCCAGTCATAATTTCTGTCTCACACTGAACTCAAACAGCTCACCCAAGTCTGGCACTGGATTCAGGACTCCAGGCTCAGTCCCAGCCTCTTTCCATATGGTCTCTCCATGCAGATGAATTCAAGAGTTCACCCAATGCTTCCTGAGGCCTCCAGGGAGCTCCGGCCCTGGAGTGGGTCCCACACAGAGAGGATTCAGTCTCAAGAGTGTCTTAGTCCCTCTCTCCTCTGTCCCCATGAGGGAGGCACTAAGAAACCTATCTGGGGAAAATAGACCACAAACTCCACATCTCTCTTGACGGAAGTGGGGGTTGGTCCTCAGCAAGTGAGAGGTTGCATTTCAGGGTACAGGAAGAAGGAGGGGTCCACCCTGCTGTGGTCTCAGGAGAGAAGAGCTCAGCTTTCACTTCCCCTGCAGCGGCCAGAGTGAGAGGAGTATTCTTGTTGGAGGGAGAACTTTGGGGGCAGAAACTACACATTTCAATCAGAAAAAGCCCCCAGGGCACTGACCACCACACAGTCTCCCCCACCTCCCAGCCGGGAGAGATTGATCAGATGGTATCTAGGGAATCTAGATGATCATCTGCAGCCCAGAGATGCTGCTGCTGCTGCAGACACAATGTGAGGGCAACAGGTCTGAGGAAGGGATTTCTGGGCGGGGCTGCAGTCAGAGACTCTGTTTCCTGCAGTGGACCCTGGGGGATGGTGCAGATACAGTCTGTAACCTTCAGTCTGTGACCATGAAGGAGGGCCTGCCTGTGCATCTTATCCCATTCTCCAATCCAACCCCTGGATTTTCTGGACCGACTTTAGCCATGTAGACCCACCTTCAGGTCCTGGAGGTGGCCAACAGACACCATAATCCCCCTCTGGCCACAGACCCTGTCAAACCTGGAAGAGAGAATCTGGGGCTGACTCAACCTTCTTGGGGACCCAGGGGCCCACAGTTGCCCTCTGAGCATCAGATTTTCCAAGATGTGGGAAAGTGGGAAGACTTTAGGATAGAGAAATATGTGAAATATGACTCCCAATATATGACACTGCCTCTGGAGGTGACAAGTAGTCAAGGGTCCCCAGGAGAGAACCCCAGAGACAGGAACTCACCTGCTCCTTATCTGGAGGTGGGAGATTGATCAGGATCATGGGGCTGAGAGAGTGGGAGGCTGATTTGGAGGCTGCCCCCAGATCACACTCTGGGGTCTGAGTCTTTTTCTTCTCTCCAGCTTGCACCAGATACCCCAAATCTACACCCTTTTCGCCTGAAGTTCAACCATCTTGGAATCTAAACAGCACTATGTCAGCAGCTTGTGTAAGAGGATGCTTCTCTCCCCCTGGACCCCAAGTCCTCCTCCCATTTCTAAATCCTCATCCATACATTAGGGTCAAGATCATGACCCCAGCCCTACATGCCAGGTGACCTTCCTAGGAGGTGGTAGGTCTGTGGTTAGAACCATCAGAGGAGTTCAGCCCATAGCTAAAAATATATGTGATTTTTCAAGCCCATTCACAGGCAAATAGATAGACTTTCCTTGGCTGTCCTCATGAGAAGCGGCCCTCCCTGCACTCTTTACTCTCTGGGTGCTGGCCAGGTGGGACCTGCTTCTCCAGTAGAGACAACCGTGCATGACCCCAGAAGGCAGGACTTGGGGGCTCTCTTCCTTCCTTGCTGCCTTACTTGGGCAAGCCCCTTGCCTGTCTGAGCTTCAGGGTTCATTTGCCACATGCAGAAATGGGTCTGGATGATCTCAAATGGGAAGTCTCAGCTTACTCTGTGGTCTGAAGTTTCCTCTTCTGGGCATATGGCCCTTTCTTCTTGCCACAGGCTTCCTGTCTCAGCTTCCTCTGCCCTCCCACAGCTGCGACTTTCTCTTCTCTCTCAGAGGGACTCCGGAAGGTGGACCATCCAAGGGTAGGAGGACAGAATGTCGCTGTGCCTGCTGCTACTGCTGCCTGTGCTGTGGGGAGGTGAGTGGTCGAGGGGAGAGGGGACCCCACTCTGCGGAGGCACCAGAGCTGCAGGCTGAGTTTCTCCTTCTCTCCAGCGCCCATGGCTCAGGATCAGATCTACCAGCTGGAACTACTGGCATCCGTGACAGTGCAGGAGGGCCTGTGTGTCCTCGTGCCCTGCAAATTTTCCTATCCTTGGATTTCCTTTGGAACCCTCCACGTGTTTTGGTTCCGGAAAGGGGTGGATAGAAACCAAGATCTTCCAGTGGCTGCAAATAAACGAGAACAGCAGCTGCAGGAGAGTACCCAGGGCCGGTTCTTCCTCCTTGGAGAACCGCAGGCCCACAACTGCTCCCTGATCATCAGAGATGTCAACATGGGGGACAATGGGACTTACTACTTTCACATGGAGGATGCCTTGAGGAAACACTCATATCTAGATAAGATGCTCTCTCTGCATGTGACAGGTATGGTAGGGGCCCAGGTAAAGTCCCCAGAGTGTGAGGCACTGGAAATAGAAAAATGAAGGTTCTGTTCTTCCTAGGTGTGGGGTGTGGTGGGGACGGTGGTGGAAAGAAACTAGGGCCTGCTGAAGATACGCCAAGGGGCCCCAACCTCCTCTCTCTCTTCACAAGCCCTGACCCACAGGCCCGACATCCTTACTTCAGAGCCCCTGGAGTCTGGCCGCCCTGGGAACCTGACCTGCTCTGTGCCCTGGGCCTGTGAGCAGGGCATGCTCCCCATCTTCTCCTGGACATCTGCTTCCCTCACCTTCCTTGGCCCCAGGACCCACCTCTCCTCTGTGCTCACCCTCACCCCACGGCCTCAGGACCACGGTACCAGCCTCACCTGTCAGGTGAACTTCCCTGCAGTTGGCGTAACCGTGGAAAGGACCATCCAGCTCAATGTCACCTGTGAGTGTTGGGCCAGGACACTTGAGTCCCTGAGGGGGTGGGGCGAGGGCAAAGCTAGACCAGGTTTGATGTAGGGGTCCTGTTAGTCCCACAAGAAGGGGTTCCGCATTACCTGTTTCCATGGCTCCTGGGAGGAAAGGCCCCGTGCCCACCCATCTGTCACAATGGATGCTGAGGTTTCTACACCCTTCTGTCCCAGATGCTCCACAGAACATGGTCATCAGCATCTTCCAAGGAAACAGCACAGGTAGGAAAAACCTATTCTCTCCAGCACTGGGCTGGATGCAGGTCTAGCTGGATCTAGAGCTCCAATTGTCCAGGGACTAAGTCAGAAGCCAGCTACTGAGGTCATATGCAGAGAGAGCACGGGGGAAAGCCCCCACAAATCCCAACTCCCTGAAGTTAATCTTTTCTCACCCACAGTTTCTCTGGCCAAATCTAAAGGAAGCCATCACATCCCTCTTGTTTTAGGTTCTCTCTGACATGTTAGCTCCTCCTGCTTCCATAGCCCCTCGTTGGTCCATTAACTGCATTTGTTCACTACATCCCTGTCCTGAGTCCTCTGTCCTCCATCTGCTCAACACTCTGAGCAGCTCAGGGAAATTGTCTGGGCCTCTTCTGAAGGCCTGAGGCCTGACTCTCCTGGTCCTCTCTTCAGAGTTAATGTGAAGAGAGATGACGGCTTCGCCCACCCGATGTCTCTCTGTCTTTGTCTCTTTCTCTGCATCTTTGTGTCCAAAGGCCTCAAGATCCCGCAAGACGCCTCGACCCTTCCCGTCCTGGAGGGCCAGACTGTGCGGCTGCTCTGTGTGGCTGACAGCAACCCGCCCGCAGAGCTGAGCTGGTTCCAGGGGTCCCCAGCCCTGAACGCCACCCCCATATCCATCACCGCCATCCTGGAACTGCCTCCCATAGGGACTACAGGAGGAGACTTCACCTGCCTTGCTCGGCACCCGCTGGGCTCCCAAAATGTCTCTGTGAGCCTCTCCGTGGTCTGTGCGTGTGGGGACCCCCGGGGCAGGACACCCGGGTCCTATGGAGTGCAGAGGCACCATTGACCTTCTCTTCCCTCCCCCACAGACCCCCCACAGCTGCTGGAACTCTCCTGCTCCTGGGAGGTCCAGGGTCTGCACTGTGGCTGCTCATCCCAAGCCCAGCCAGCCCCCTCCCTGCGCTGGCGGCTGGGGGAGGGTCTGCTGGAGGGGAACAGCAGCAACGCCTCCTTCACGGTCACCTCCAGCTCCGAGGGTCCCTGGGCCAACAGCTCCCTGAGCCTCAGCAGGGGGCTCAGCTCCTGCCTCAGACTCAGCTGTGAGGCCACGAATGTCCACGGAGCCCAGATCGCCACTGTCCTGCTGCTGCCAGGTCCGGGATCAGCCGAGGGGTGACGCCTAGGGAAAGAGGAGCTTGGACCTTGTTTTAGTTTCCTAGGGCTGCCATAACAAAGTAGCTGAAATGTGGGGCTAAACAACAGAGATTTATCATCTCACAGTTCTGGAGGGCAGAAGCCTGAGGTCAAACTGTCAGCAGGGCTGGTTCCCTCTGAGGCTGTGAGAATAGGTTCCAGGCCTCTCCCCCAGCTTCTGGTTATTTGTTGGCAATCTTTGTCATGCCTTGTCTTGTAGAAGCATCTCCCCAATCTCTGCCTTCATCTTCACTTGGTGTTTTCCTTGTCCACGTGCGAATTTCCTCTTTTTAATGAGGATATCAGTTATATTGGATTAGGGCCCAACCTAATGACCTCATTTTAACTATAAGTATTGTAAAGACCCTGTCTCCAAATAAGGTCACATTCTGAGGTACGGGGCAGGAAATATGCCACGGGTGAGGGGGCGTGAATTTCAACATACGACTTTTTTGGGGGGGAACAATTTTACCCGTAACAGGCCCAGAAAGATGGAGCTTGGAGGAGAAGCACCCCAAGGTCTGGACCAGGGTGGCTGGGGGTGTAAGATCCTCAGTCCTGTGGCCAGGAGAAGGGGCTGCTCCAGGATCTACAGGGCAATGGAATGCAGAGCAACTGAGTCCTGTTTGGGGAGTGGGTACACTAAGGGAATAAAGGGAGAGAAGTGGCCAGTTGGGAGGATGCCATGTATTGGGGTTGGAGTTTATCCTAAAGTCAAATTATCTACAGGTAAACCAGAACCCAGGGCTGGCAGGGTCCTGGCAGCAGTTGCAGGAGCTGGCATCACGGCCTTGCTTTCTCTCTGCCTCTGTCTCATCTTCAGGTGAGAGTGGGCTCCAGGCACAGAGGAAGAGGCCTGGGGTGGGAAGGGCATAAAGTCTCAGAATCTCAGAGATCCTGATCTGGAGGAACCTGGACTGGTTGGAATGCCAGGCGCCAGGGGAGGGAGGCTGAGTGGTGGCATGGATTAGCCCATAACCAACAGGTCCAAGTACTGGGTCTCTTCCAAGCCTCCAATCCAGCTCTTGGTTTGGGGGTAGCACCTGGAGACAAGCCCCACCTCTCCTACATCATTCAGCACTTCTATGCTCTTGACAGGGAGTAGGGGATGGTCTGCCTACTCCATACCCCAAATAACCAGGCTGAAATGCGCTGGGCTGTTCCCTTAGAGTGAAGACCTGCAGGAAGAAGGCAGCCCAGCCAGTGCAGAGCACGGACAACGTGAACCCAGTCGAGGGCTCAGGCTCCGGGGTGAGCGAGGGGACATGAGCCCCATTCAACATTGTCCCTGGTGGGTGCCTCCTTGGGAACGGCCCGTAGGACCTTCCCTGTTTACGTGCAACACTCCCCCGAGGTCCACATGTGGTCATTTTAAACTATTGACTCAACTGCTCTGATCTGTCTTCTTCTGGTGGGGTAAGTAAGTAGTCCAGTCTTTTGTTGGGGGTGTTTATGCCTCATCTGTCAGATGATCATATTCCCCTGGAAAATCAGCCTTTTCTTCTGGTGTTGATCACCGGGGAAGGGTAATGGCCCAAACCTAGTCTGTGTCAGACGCTCTGTGCACAAGGAGAGTGGTGAACATGGGCTCTAGGGTAGAGAGCCCGGGCACCCCAAAGTCACAATTCATCACATCATTTTGCAATTTTCCAATCTATCACCGTGTTTATTTAAAATCAACCCTGAACTTATTGAGTTATACTTTACAAGTAACAAAATGCACCCATTTTAAATATATGGTTAAATGAATTTTGACAAATGGATACACCCTGTAAACATGTCCCTAGTCTAGACATGGAGCGTTTCCATCACTCCCCAAAATTTCCTTCTTCCCATTCTCAGTCAACCCCTGGTTTCCAGTTATCACTGATTTCTATCATGATACATTAATTTTGTCCCTTCTGGAACTTCTTATAAATGGAACCTGCAATATTTACTCTATATGTCTGGCTTCTATCATGTCATTAAAAGATACAGAAATCCTAAACCCATATGCCCCCAATAACAGAGCATGATTCATCAAAACAGATGAACAAAAACTGACAGAGCTGCAAGGAGAGGCAGAAACACCCACAATCACAGCTGATTATTTCAAAACTCCTTTCTCAGAGCAAAGAGCCAGAAAATCATTTTTTATTTTGTGAGGAAGATCAGCCCTGTGCTAACATCTGCCAATCCTCCTCTTTTTGCTGAAGAAAACTGGCCCTGGGCTAACATCCGTTCCCATCTTCCTCCACTTTATATGGGATGCCGCCACAACATGGCCCAGCAAGCAGTGCGTCAGTGCGCGCCCAGGATCCAAACCGGCGAACCCCGGGCCACCGCAGCTGAGCATGCATACCTAACCACTTGCGCCACTGGGCTGGCCCCCAGAAAATCATTGTTTAATGCAATTTACTTAATTCCCTACATTGTTTCTCCTGGTCGATCTTGGGGAATGGAATCCTCAGTGTATGCTAAGTCCCCCTCAGGAATCGTGGGCACAGGGATCATGGATGTCAGGAATCAGGTTATATCTTTTCCATTGCTTTACTATCAATTTTTCAGTAAACTTTTTTTTGTAGTGAATGCCACCTATAATCTGTAGAGCATAGTTGTTCAAAGCTTGTCCTCCAGGCTGGCCCAGTGGTGTAGTGGTTAAGTTCTTAGGCTCCTCTTCGGCAGCCCAGGGTTCACAGGTTCAGATCCCAGGCACGGACATATGCACCACTCATCAAACCATGCTGTGGCGGTATCCCATATACAAAATAGAGGAAGAAGGGCACAGATGCTATCTCAGGGCTAATCTTCATGAGGAAAAAAAAAAAAAACAGGTGCTCTGGAGCCAGATGGCATAAATTCAAATCTCCTTTCCCTACTGATGAGCTGTGTGACCCAGGACAAACTATGTTCCCTCTCTGACCTCTATTTATGTTCTGTGATGTGGGAATATGAGGAGACTCTGTGTCACAGAGTAGTTGTGAGGAGTACTTGAAACAGCGCCTGGCATATATTGAGCACAGGACCCATTACTACCCGTCAGAATCCTTGCCTCCTCCAGCGAGTGAGTCCCAAGGGTGGTTTATTGTTGTTGTTGTTGTTGTTTTATTCCCTGTTGCATTCTCAGGGCCTAGACGAATGCCTGGCTCATAATCCACAGCAGGTACTCAATAAATATTTCTGGAATAAATCGTTGAATAATCATAGTGCTGGAAAACATTTTCTATTAAAATCTGTGTCTTTTGATGGGTGAGGTTTCTTTAGATGCAAATACTGTAGCTATGATTATTCACAGACATGTTTCTTTCTTTCCCACGTTTTGGCTGCAGTAGATTAGCACAGTTGGTCTGTCATTAATTTTCATCTTTCTTTTGCACAGTCTGGGCAGCCGTCTCTCTCTCTCTTCTATTCCCTCTGCAGTAGGGAATCCCTTTCCTCCTGACCTGAGAAATGTTTGTCTTTGCCTCTCTGAGCTGCTGTTTGAGGGTTTCTATTTCATGTGTCTGTAGCCTGAGGGTGCTGTGGGCAGGAAGCAGATATGGGAGAGGTGTCTGGTGCCATCTTTCCTGCAGAATCTGCTCTCTGCTCTGTCATCTAGGACCTATCCAGAAACTGGATATGCCCCCCCGCCCCCACTTTATATTTCAAAATATCCCCTATCCCAAATCGAGAACTTGAAATGTATTTGCTTTCTATTTGTTTAGCAACTGCCTCTCCTAGAAAACCATCAGCTGCGTGGGGTCAGGGGCTGGGTCTGCTTTCTTCATCACTCCACACACAGCACCTGGCACACGGCCCCAACAGAGGATGGTGCCATAGTGAGAAAGAGCTGGATTTGAGTCCTGGCTCAGTGGTGCACGTATAGAGATGTGTGTCTTCAGGGCAATGCATGTAATCCCTCTTAGCCTTAATTTTACTGTTTGTAAGATGAAAGTGATAATAGCATCCTTTCCAAGCATATGTTTTTAGAATATAACATGATTAATATATATACTCACTAACGGTTGGACAATCTTAAATATTAACTATTTTTGAACAAATGAAGGGGAAGATGATCAAAGTTCCATCGGTCCCAATCCCATTCTGGTCCTGGCTGCTTGCTCCCTGACCCTATTGCCCAGCTCTGAATCCTTCTCTTCCTTCTACTCAGGCTCATCGCCACCAGTTCTGGACAGACTCCCCTTCAGACCACCCAGCCCCTGCTGGGGTGAGCCCCATCTCGAGAGAGGAACCAGAGCTCCACTATGCTTTCCTCAGATTTCACAAGCCTCCCAAAAAAAAAGACACCAACATGGAATATGCAGAGATCAAGACACACAAATGAGGGATTTTTATCTCACAGTTCTGGAGGCTGGAAGTCTGAGATCAACGTGAGCAGGGTTGTTTCCTTCCGAGGCCTCTCTCCTGGCTTTCAGACAGCTGTCTCTTCCCTGTATCCTCACTTGGTCTTCCCTCTTCTTATAAATGTTTCTTCTTCTTAAAACGATACCAAGTGTATGGGGTTAGGGTCCATACTAACGACTTCATTTCAACTGAATTACTTCTTTAAAGACCCTGTCTCCTAATATAGTTACATCCTGAGGTCCTGGGGGTGAGGACTTCACCTTATTCATTTTATGATTTTTCAGCACGTAACACTCAGCCTCTGATTATTTTAAAATTGGTAGCCTTCCTGGCAATGGAATGAATCCCCTAGTGTATGTAGAAGACTATAGGACTGTGTCCAAAAGAACTGAGTTCAAATCCATATATACCACTTAGTGAGTGAGTCCCTTTATCTCTCTGTGCCTCACTTTCCTGTTCTGCAAAGCAGGGGAATCATCCATCTAATCAGTTTATTGTGAAATATCCATGAAAATGCACATAAAAAAGCAGCTAACAAACGTCCTGATATGAAGGTTTTGTGAACTCTGAACCCAGGTTGTGTCAGGACTTTTGTTGGCTGTTTTTTTTTTTTCTTAATTTTTTGTTTATTGCAGTAACATTGGTTTATAACATTGTATAAATGTCAGGTGTACATCATTGTACTTCTATTTCTGCATAGATTACATCATGTTCACCACCAAAATACTAATTACAACCCATCACCACACACATGTACCCAATTATCCCTTTCACCCTCCTCCCTCCCCCCTTCCCCTCTGGTAACCACCAATCCAATCTCTGTCCCTATGTGTTTGTTTATTGTTGTTATTATCTACTACTTAATGAAGGAAATCATACGGTATTTGACCTTCTCCCTCTGACTTATTTCACTTTGCATTATACCCTCAATGTCCATCCATGTTGTCACAAATGGCTGAATTTCATCTTTTCTTATGGCTGAGTAGTATTCCGTTGTGTATATATACCACAGCTTCTTTATCCATTCGTCCCTTGATGGGCACTTAGGTTGCTTCCAAGTCTTGGCTATTGTGAATAACGCTGCAATGAACACAGGGGTGCATTTCCCTGGTGAATTCTACCAAACATTCAAAGAAGACTTAATACCTATCCTTCTCAAACTCTTCCAAAAAATTGAGGAGGGGGGAAGCTCCCTAACTCATTCTACGAAGCTGACATTACCCTGATACCAAAACCAGACAAGGACAACACAAAAAAAGAAAATTACAGGCCAATATCACGGATGAACATCGATGCAAAAATCCTCAACAAAATACTAGCAAATCGCATACAACAATACGTTAAGAAGATTATACACCATGATCAAGTGGGATTTATTCCAGGTATGCAGGGATGGTTTAACATTGTTGGCTGTTTTAACAGAAAGTTTCTGCTAATAATTTCTGCTAAGGCTTGGAGGGGACTGTCCCAGTGGTGGCAGAACCTTTTCCCCTAAGATTGGAAATGAGGCAGCAATGGCTGTTCTTACCACTTCCATCAAACAATATATAGTAGATCATTCCCAGTGCAATGAATGCAAGAAAGAAATAATAGCTCTCTAGATCATAAAATGAGAACTAAAAGAGTCTTTATTCACAGACAACATGTTAGTGGGCATTAAAAATGTAAAGTTATCCACAAAGAAGCTGGTAAAACCAATAAAAGAGTTTAGCAAGTTGTTAAGATGTTAGTTCAAATGAAAAGATTACTTTTCAACGCTCTGTGTTGGCCAAGGAAAATTAGAAATCAAATATTTTTTTAAAGATATAATTTACAGTAACTTGAAACAGTGAAATAAATTGAATGAAATAGGTGCAAATCCTGAACATTGAAAGAATACAAAGTATTGCTTAAAGAATCGGAAGAAGAACGAAATACATGGAGATATATACCATGTTCATGGATTGGAAGACTCAATATTGTTAGGTTGCCAGTTTTCCTTAATTGGTGGGTAAATTCAATGCAATCTGAAAGTCTCAGTGAGAGCTTTGTAGAAATTGACAAGCTGATTCTAAACTATACATAGAAAAACAAAGAACTAGAATGACCTAAGAAATTTCATAACTGACAATAAGTCCATTGAAGGACACCCCTCCAGTTCCTGTCCCTCTGTCCCAGGATTCCCACCACCTCCTGCACAGCCACCAGCTATGCAGGAGAAACATGTCCTCCACATCCAGGAGCAAGTCTCTTCTCCCAACAAATCTTGATGCTCCCAGTGGACGATGATTCCCAGCCTGGTGGTCCTCATTCCTGTGTCCTGAGCACCAAAATACCCAGCAGAGGGGTCTGCATGGGCAAAGTCCTAGAGGCAGGGCAGAGCTTGTCATGTTCAGGAACAGTGAGGGGCAGTGTGGCTGGGCAAGGGGACAGCCGTCCACAAGTCAGTCATGGAGGCCAGTGGGGCAGCTGTGTCAAAATGGGCACTTATTCTCTCTACTTTCATTTGCCCTACAACCCCATCCCACAGAGAATCCCAGTTGTCCTCTGGGGAGCTCTCAGTGTTCCAGGACCTCTGATGAATTAAGTGTGTTGTCCCACTTACTCCTCATGACCTCCCACCTTGAGAGTCTTTCTGCAAATTCCATCTAGATTCTAGTTCCTGGTGCCTCGTCCAGCTCCCCACTGGACAGTAAGGAGAGTGTCCTAATCTATCTAACTTATCTCCCTTTCTCTTCTCCGAGGAGAGTAGGACTTATCCCTGTGTGTTTGGAGAAATGAAAGAAAGGATAAATGAATGAAAGACGGCCTCTCCGTATTGACAAGAAACATAACTGAAACTTAACGATTGAGAAAGGATGAAATGACAAGATGTCATTAGATATACCATGGAAGCACTAAACGAAGGATAGTTGGCGTCACTGTCTTAACATCAGATGAGAGAGTCCTTGAGGCAAAGAGCATTAGGTGTGGGCACTTCATAAAATCAAAGGTTTATTTAACCCTCCATAAAATATAGAATTCTAAATATGTATGCCTCTGAAAATTGAGTCTCAAAATACACAAAACACACATATTCACAAAATTAAGGCTCCTGTCACAGGAACCTCCAGGTGCTGAGACACTTACCGTCTTCCCACTGGACCGTGACTTTTGGGGCAGCATCCAGGGCTGGTGTGTGAGCTCGTCAGCAGAGAGGGGTTGTCTACCCTGTGGACACTGAAGGAGGGAGGACAGTTGACCTCACTCCACACCCCAAACCCTCACCCATCTCCCATGTCCCTACAACCCAGGCCTGGACAGACCTCCACAGATATCTACAGCCTGTGACTCTGGTGGTCTGGCCACAAAGTACCTGTTTTCACTTTCCAAAAAATGACCCCTGAGCGGAAGGGCATCAACAGAGAGGCGGGAGATGGGCTGGGTCCCTATGTGGGGTGTGAATTTGGGTGAGGCTCAAACCCTCTCTGGCCCAGGGTCCCCATGAGCAGATGTTCTGGTGGATGGTTGACTCCAAGGGCTGTCCTGCCCCTGACACTGTCTGGGTGTGAAGTTCCTCTGTGGAGGGTCACTGTTCTGCCCTCACTCTCAGCTTCCTGTTAGAGCCTCCTCTGAATCTTGCAACTTTTAGTTCCTGAGAGAGAACCTTGAGAAACACACTTTCTAAGGGAACATGGCACTGCCAACCCCAGACATGCTGCTGCTGCTGGCCCTGCTCTGGTGGAGGGAACGGGGCCAAGGGCTAGAGGAAGCCCAGGGAGGATTCTCAGCTGCAAGTGCAGCGGTTGGTGATGGTGCAAGAAGAGCTGTGCATGTTCGTGCCCTGCTCCTTCTCCTACCCCTTCTCCTACCCGGCCACAGGGCTACTGGTTTTGGGAAGGATCCACTGCAGACGAGGATGCTCCAGTGGCCACAAACTACCTAGATAGTGAGCCGCAGAATGAGACCCTGGTCTAGTCCACCTCCTCGGGGAGCCCCGGGCTTACAATTGCCTCCTGGACATCAGAGATACCATGAGGAGGGACGACAGTTCATACTTTCTTCGGGTGCAGAGAGGAAGTATAAAATGGAGTTACACGTCTAACCAGATCTCCATGCGCGTGATGGATAAGGAATGGGCTCTAGGAGAGGGAACAGGGGAAGGACATGGGGGTCACAGCACAGGGCTGGGATGGGACTCTCCATCCTGAGAGGTGGTTGGGGGTACAGTGTGTCAAGGCTCAGAAAGAGAAGCTGGACCAAAGTCTGAGGCTTTTCTCAGGGCCACACCTTGAGCTCTCCCTCCTGATCCCTGTGTCTCCCCATCTCCTCACAAGTTTTGACCCACATGCCAGACATTCTCATACCGGGGACCCTGGAGTCCAGCCGTCCCAGTAACCTCACCTGCTCTGTGCCCTGGGCCTGTGAGTGGGACACTCCTTCCATCTTCTCCTGGATATGGGTATCCATATCCCCCCAGGTCCACATGATAGCCCACTCTTCAGTGTTCACCCTCACCCCACAGCCCCAGGACCTCGGCACCGGGCTCACTTGTCACGTGACATTGCATGGGGTTGGAGTGACCACCTCGAAGACCATCCACCTCAACGTGTCCTGTGAGTGCTGGGCCAGGTCACCCGGGTCCCTGATGGGGTCCTGAGGGCATTAGAGGTGGGAGTCAGGGCCTTGGACACTGGTGTGGGGTCCCAGAAACCAGGCTGAGCAGAGGTCCGGAGGACACTCACCTACACCCTTCCCCCATTTATGCAGTTCTGGAGACAAGGGCCAATGTCCACCCAGCCATCACCACTGATGTGGGTCTACCATGTCTTTCTGTCCCAGACTCTCCACAGAACTTGACTGTAACTGTCTTCTGAGGAAACAACACAGGTAGGAAGGAGCCCCCTCTTGGGCTGTGGGGGGCAAGGCCTCTTCTGCTCAGAGCAGGGCCTGGTCCCTGCCTCATCCTGGACTCATCCCAGTGACCAGATATCCCCTTGTGGGTGAATTCAGTGGTTCCTC